AAACTTTTTATATTCATAGGATATATACTTTCTTTATAATGCCATTACATATTTCTATTAATATAAAAAGTTTCTGAGCTTTTCATTCACTTTACTTTTTTGAGATTTTATGAACTGAAAAATGACAGTTTTCGTGAGAATGACCCATATATGGTTATAATAATTTGTATAATAGTTATAATGGTTATATTAAGTTAATGTATCGATAAGAAAATGATTAGAACTTGTATTGTTATACAATACAAAGCTTCAGATAAAATTTAAGCCCTTTCATTTTCTTCGAAAATGATGGGAATTTCTATTGAAGATGAACTTTATTTGGGAGTATTATGGCAGATTATTCTCTTGCGGTTAGGAAATGATTGAAATTTATATTATCATCACTTTCCGGTATGCATTTTAGTTCTTTAGATGGTCTGAAAAGAGTTGAAATTTTAACTGTAAGATTTCAATTTCTCAAACAAGAAAGCGAGTTAATAAAAATGCGACAAAATAGGCGAATGTAAATTAAATTAGTGGCTTTATTTTCTATTATTTAATTTAGATACTTTTTCTTACTTGCATAGTAAAAATATATTGAAGGCGATATATTTCATTTTTCAATAAATTTGCTAAGATATTTATACGAAGAAATCATTCGAGTAACAAAATCATCAATTATGGTGTTCTTAAATTGATTTCAAAGTCAAGTAAAATAATAATAAAAAAGTTAACAAAAAAAAACGATAATCGCAAATATTGATTTAAACAGACAATAATCAATTATCACTATTGGGCATTTTCTGTTTTAAAATATTTTGGTCAGCTTGTCCTTAAAAAAGTATATTAGATGTATTATCAGCATATCATTCCCAAGCCATTTAAAAATGGCTAACATACGTTTAGTTGATCGCAAAAATGCGCAGAAGGAAAAAAGTGTAAGAAGTGATAATTGTAATTTTACCTCTAACGGACAACAAACTTCACTTAAAGTCGCAGGCTTTTTTTCTAGTATCTTTTGGAAATTAAACAGTTTTGTCAGTAAGCCCTTACTTACCAATACACATGTGTTAAATCGTAACTGTACGATTAAGAAATGCACACGAGGTATAATTTAGATCACTTTGTAACGTTTTGATCAAAATGTTGCTCCAGCTTCAAACAGTTATCTTTCAAAGAAACAAGCAGAACATAACAGAAGAAGTTGCTTAGCAATTATATGATGCATTGAATAATCTGTATATTGATGTATTTCGGTTACATCTTTTCACAGGAAGTTCAAAAATTGCATTGAAAATTTGTAAAATAGATTAACTTCAATAAAAAATTAAGGCAAATACTTGACCACTGTATTCTTCCACATGGATCATCATGTGAAAAACTTTATAATTTATCAGCTGGACAAGAGCGTTCTTGATATAATTCTTCTTAAAAAATCAGAGGTGGTGCAATTTAAGAGAATCACGATTTAGGGACCACCAACTATTAGTACCATATTTTCCAGTAAGCGGCTATCCCTCATAACTTGAGGGTTATAGGAATCCGAATCTGTCTAGAAAAAGACATGTTTATTCTGAGAATATATGTTGAGTCTGGTTTCGTATTCGTATCGTCTGCACTACTTGATTTAAAACTTCTTTTGCTTCAAAAATATACAGATTAAAAATAACAGACGGCATGTTTTAAGAGCTCAAAAGCAGGCATCCATTTTCAAGACACGTAAGACATGAATGAGAAGAAACGAAAGTGATTTGAAATATGAAACGCAAAGATACTAACAAAAAATGGAAAAATAAAGGTGAGAAACAAAGCTAGACAAACCACAGTAGATAAGAGAGTGAAAAATGATGAAAAATAGAGAACGAAAAACTCCAGTGGCCTGCATTTTCCCTTCTCATCAACTGTTTTTTTTTCTTGTCCTGTTTCATACTGTACACGAATATTATAATACCTGAATTTGTACTGTACTGATATATTATAATTACTTCTATTCATTATTTGTATTTGTTAGATTATAATTTAGAGCTAATCGTAATTATTTGCAATTGCAAATTTTTATTAGTTGTCATAAATGGTTCCACGTAATCACAATAATATGAAATTATGATTATCTGATATCACACATTTTGATTACACGCAATCATGATCACCAGTAATCGTTTCTTGTTGCTACTACAATTAATCGTGACCACATCGATTTGGAGATCCTGGTGCTTGAAGTCGTGACTACATGTACACAATCAATTACAGATGTTATTGATTGCTGCAATCAGCGTTCAACTCTGTAAAGGCTGCTGAAAACGATGTCTCATATAAGTACTTCAAACTGTTACAATTTAGGTCACTCAAAAAATTTGGCTCAAAATGTGACAGTTATTTTACAACTTCTCTAGATCTAACAATGGTGATCCTTTCCTGTTTTTTTCTTGTAGAAAATTGAAAAGATGCTCAAGGCAGTGCTGTGGACAAGGCTGTATCATCTGTGACGTCTATTCCTGGATAGTGACCTCCATTTTGAAAAAAAAAACATCGCATGTTGAGAGAGCTTGAAAATAAGCAATAAAATTGCAACAAGAAATCACCCGTTAAAATGTTAAATATGGTGAAACGAATTGAGATGTGCTACAGAGAGGCGAAATTTTCAATGAATCGCATTTATGGATGATTCTTAAATTAGAATTTGAAGTTATTGAACATTATAGTATGTCGCATTTAGGGAACGTCACACTTAGAATATTTTTTATAAGTAAGGGCAACCGCATAAATTCTGAGGCTTCAAAGGAAAAATGTTCATCAAACTGTTAATGAATGGGTTAAAAGGAAATATGTTCATCAAACTGTTTCAAATATCATGCATAATTTTTTCTAAAGTTATTTTTCATGAGAGCATCAGAAAGTTTTGCAAATAATTTCAATAAATTATTTAAAATCAACTAAACCAACGAATTTTGACAAAAATTTACATTTACAACATTTCAATCTTTAACAAAAAAATCATACTGTATTATTATGTTAATTAAATATATCATGCGAGACAAAGAAAAAGCAATGAATATTAGTGTTCTATAATTTTTCAGGTTTTTTAATTTACATATTATGTGTTTTTTATTAGATCTGCTGATTTACCACAAAATATTTGTTAATTATAACATTACATTGAAAAATTCATCATGCACGCCCATTTTATGAATCGGAGTAGATTCATTGCTTTTTTAATAATTATTTCAAATTGAAAAAATTTATTGCAAACTACAGTTTTTATTTCATTTCCAGGGAGGGGATTGAAAGTGATATGCTCAAAATAAATTGACAAAATTTCACTTTACAATGTATCATTAAATCCAAGAATCACTGATTCGTTTAGTTACTGCTGTAGTGATTCATTCGTTTACTGATTTAATGGTTCGTTGACCAGCTGATTCCTTCATTGATTCACTGATTAGTAGGCTAATTATTGTGATGATTTGCCTTTGCATATATTTATTGGTTCGTTGACCCGTTGATTTGCTGATCCACTCATTCTTTGCAATATTCAATTAATAATTTTATGGTTCAGCAATTCTTTCATTTCTTGACACACTAATTCATTCATTCGTTAATCTATTGTTACGTAATTCATTGATTCTTTGATACCTTTGCGAATGTCATTGTCGTATTGCATACTGAAAAGGAATATAGATTTCTGCTTTAATATTTTATGGTTCTGATGATTCTTAAAATCAAATATAATTCTCAGAATGCATGATCAGGTTTTTTTTTTTATTCCTGCACTTTTCTCGTTCATAAGTCTCACATTAATTTACTAGAAATTTTCATAAAAAAATGTTATCATTCAAGTTAATTATACTAAAAAACTTTTAATAAAATTTTTTTAACGAAATAAATTGATAAGATTTCACTCTACAATGTATCATCAAATCCAAGAATCATTGATTCGTTTAGTTACTGCTGTAGTGATTCACTCGTTTGCTGATTTAACGATTCGTTTACCAGCTGATTCCTTTATTGATTCACTGATTAGTAGGTTCATTATTGTGATAATTTGCTTTTACGTTTATTTATTGGTCAATTGATCCGCAGATTTGCTGATCCGCTCATTCATAGAAATACTCAATTATAAATTTTTTGGGTTCATCAATTCATTCATTTTCCGATACACTAATTCATTGATCCGTTGATCTATTGCTACGTAATTCACTGATTTTTTGATGAATTAATACGTCATTTATTGGTTCATTTTTAGACTTGGTTATGCAGTTTGGCTCTCTACTGTTATTCGTGTAATAAATACGAGCTTTAACTGAAACTGCAGTAAATTGCTGGATTTACCTTATGATCTTTCTTAACCTCAGTAGTAAGAACGCAAAGGGACTAGTGAGAACTCGATATTATGAATGCTTCAAGACGTTGCGTACTTATTTAGTATCTACGTGTAAAAACGAATTTCGGCCATTTACGATAACTTGTCTGTTAAAAAAATCAATTCTCTCTCATTAAATAAAGTTAAATTTAACCTCACAAATAATATATTTTTTCACAAAATATGCAGAAAAAAAGCATTTTGAACGTTACTTTTCGTAAATGAAGGAGGAATGCTATAAATAATCTTTGTATTCTTTTTATTCCGATGCAAATTACTTCTGTCTTTGTATTTTATTCTATTTTCTAAAAAAGGAAGTATTCATAAGAAGAGCGGAAGGAGGACGTCAAGGCAGCCGAGGAAACGGAAATAACGTTTTCTTTCTTACATTCCAAAATTTAGGATTTGACAGTTCTGAATTTCAAAGCAATCCTTCGTATTTCAGTCGGAAAAGCTTTTAGATTCGTAAGATGGATAGGTAATGTTTTTCAAAAATTTTGCTTAGTTGAATGGGACTATTTACCGAATTTCATAAAGTATTTCCTAACCTTTAGTTTCAAAAACACTTCAGAGATACTAGTGATGCTCAAAGGGTTATGATATTATTTATTATGTTTGCGGTTCATTGCTCAAAATCTATCATGTGGAAAAAACAATGATCACACTTAATTCAAAAGTTAATTTTGATATCATTTGTGTTCTGCTTTTTATTTTAACCAATCATTACAGTTATTGATGCTAATTGCTGCATTCTTAAATTTTACAGAAAAGAAGAACATTTTTAATCTGTGTTTATGTTTAGAAGTTTAAATGCTCTGGTAATTCCTTAAAATAGTTGTTTAAACAAACACATAAATTTACGTTTATCAATATATTAATTATTTTAAAACAGTATTCTGGTTTTTATCATTCTTTTTGAAAATGATCAATGATAATTAATGTATCTATAATTCTTGCTACAAAAAGAGCATTTTAATTCTACCATTTGAAAAATATTCAAATAAATTGTTTGATGTTTGAGATATTATTTTTGAATATTACTGAAAAATAGAGCAGAAAATATTATTGTAGTTAAATATTAGTAAATAAAAGCAGGCAATTGCTTAAGAAGAGAGACTTGCAGATTTGCTTTTTAAATTCAATACTCCTGTTAATATTTAAAGTTTCTTATATGAGTACTTTTATAATAATCTGAAGATGAACTTTAATGAAGAATGTTAGTTAAATTTTTAATAGTGCTGCTTTTCTTGGGAATAAGTGATGGTTTACGCCGCAATTCTTGCAGTCAAAACTATGCTGATCCAACAAAGATCATTGTTGTCCTTCTTCTACCCAAAGACAACTTATACTTGGCATCTTACTACAAAGTGGCTCCAGCAATTAAGTGGGCAATTGACCGAATCCGAGAAAAAGGCGTATTGCCAGGTTTAGAGCTTGTTTTAATGGAAAGAGACACCGCTTGCGATCCGGCTAAAGGTACATGGGAAGCAATGAGAGCCTTTATTGAATATCCACTGAATTTATTCTTGGGACCTTCATGTGATTACGTTGCAGCTCCAGTAGCAAGACTGTTGAAGTTCATACACATACCAATGATAACAGCTGGTGCTTTAGCGTATGATTTCGGCATAGAAGATCGAAGAAACAATGAATCAGAGTATCATATGTTAGTACGGACAGGCTGGTCTTTTTATGGAATGTCTCATGCAATTCAAAAATTTTTTGAGAAATTTAAGTGGCGAAAAATGGCGTTTTTGTATCAAATAGATGGAAGGCCTGAAGTGATAAAAGATCATTATTGCTACTTGGCAATACAGGCTGTTTATGATACTTTGTTTTTAGAGAAAAATTGCACTATAAAACAACATAAACTTATGCCAGACATGAAGAAAGAGCATTTATTGGATATAGTTAAAAGAGAAGTTGGCACAGAATATGCGAGTAAGTAAATTTTTGAAAAATTAAATTCTGGAATAAAATAAACGAACAATGGCATAGTAACGCAAATATATTTTTTTTAAATCGTTGAAATTTTCGAATGAAATAAGCAAATAATAACATGGCACCGTAAATAATTTTTAGATTTAGTTTTAATTCTTAACACTAGAAAAACGGAGGAGGTTCGTTTGACCTTTCTCGATTTTTGTTGTTTCGTAATTCAAAAACTGGGTTTGATCCTCAGTGGCGGCTTGACGACAACCCAGCTTCAGGTCACTGGGTAGCAGCTTGTCTGGGAAGTAAAGGTGGCCTGTGAGCAGCTCTGACTATAATGCCGCAATCTTGCCGTTGGTCATGAAAATGTGAAACCTTAACCTCCAGGACCTAAGGAGCATCTACCACTGTAAATATTAAACACCAAATCACTAGTATATAAAACATGTTTACTTGATTCCATCTTGAGGTACCTTTTGATAGATGAAGGTTAACATAGTCGATAGACAATTCCAATATTGGTGACCCGGTCGACAAATAATTCCCCAATAAACAGTATCAAAGAAGAAAAAAGATCCGGTGATGTAAATAAAGTCTCCTGGTAATAAACAATATAGAAAAAAAATGAGCGAAATGCTATGAACAAAAAAAAAAGGAGCAAAATGCTATAAATAAAAAAAAATGAAGAAAAAAAAATGAGCGAAATGCTATAAACAAAAAGAAGAAGAAAAAATATAATGAGCAAAATTGACATATAAACAGCATGAATCAACTAGTGGTATTCGTTCATCGAATTTTATCATAGATAAAATTCTGGAAGGGGAGTATTGTGGCGTAACTACCACTATAAATATTAAATACCAATTCACTAGTATATAAGACATGTTAACTTGATTCCACCTTGAGGTACCTTTTGATAGATGAAGGTTGACATAGTCGATATATAGTTCCCACAGATCCCTCTGATCCACAACGGGCAGTTGCGAATCGGCTTTTTGTTCGAAATTCCCCCCCCCCCCNAACCCCCCCCCCCCCCAAAAAAAAGTTACTGAAAGTTTTGAGCATTTCTGACTTTTCATAATTTGATAAAATTTTAGTGTTTATTTAATCATTCATGTGCTAGCCTTATAGGAGCGAATAGATAGAACCTTATACCTAGAATGACACGAGGGGCTAAAGTACTCCTTTATGTATTTCTGTAGGTACCCCTTAACCACAGGTCGATTTGAGCAAAAGGTACCTTTTGGTAGATAAAAGGAACTCCAGTTTCATTAAAAAACAAGAGTATTTCAACACAAAATTACTATTTACAAAGGAAAGGAAACGCATTTGTCTTAGAAACTAATATATTAATTTAACTGGAAAAGTTAGAGCTCCGTTTAATTAAATATTTTCCTTGACCAAATTGAAAAAAAAAACAGCATATAATTTATGATCAAGTCTCTAATATATTTTTTATTAAATTAATTATTATTTCATTTTAAGATTTTTAAAATTTAATTTATCTTGACGCAAATACTCTGGGAAGGGCAACACTGGTCGCTTTAGATTTTCTTGGTACAGCAGCGTTAAGTTTTTCTAGTGTTAAAATCGTATTGCGTTGTGATTCACGTAGCTGCATGTTAAAGCATCTTTATCTTGAGGTTTTGATAAAATTATCCGTCATTATTCTCTTCATTTTTTGTTATGTAAGGAGTTTTATAGTCACCACCTTTCTATATATTTTTAGAATCCTTTTCGAAAATTAAATAACAAAGTATACACATTGGGAGATGCAAATCAATATATCTAAGCAGAAAAAACAAACAAACAATCCTTTAGAAATCTGTTGGATCATTAGCGAGGAAGGCGATATGAAAATCATCCAAATTAGTTTGATTTTCTGATGCAATTTAGGGTTCGAATAATTGTCTTTGAACTTTTCTATGAAACCTCCTGCAGTCAAATAGTTGATATTTTCATTCTCGTCTTCCTCAATAGTGATTTGTTAGAGTTTTTTCCTGCATTTAAATTTTAGACCCTTAATGTGTGTTTTTTTGGCTTCATTTTTTCAAGGACTTAAAATGTATAAATATAAAGAGTGGTTAATCGGGAATACCTAATAAAAGGGGAAAACTACGATGATTCTCTACTTAAATTCGATTACTGTTTCTGGGTAATCATAAAATAATTTAAGTTTTGAAAATATTAATATAATGCTTTGAAAAATTTATCGAAAATAGTATTTGACGATGAAAACATTTTTCTATGATTTCGAGCATAAATTACTATTTAGAATTTAAATTATCATTTCATGAGCGAACTTATTGTGCTTTCTAACTTCTGATAGTAAAAAAAAAATTCCTCGTTCATTGTTATTGTTGTTACACAGCGTGATACATAATTATGATGTGAATAGGAATAAGTAAAGCATATGCATAAATATATTTTTAATTTTGAATGTCATTGAACTAGAAAAAGAAAAGCTTCTTATATGAATGACGAACGGTCAAAGCTACTTTTCTTTTATATATGTATGTATTAATTTTAAAAGCAAGGAAATTAAATTAGGACTTTTTCTTTTAAACTCTTTTCATTTTTAGTGAATTTAATTTTCTTCCTTTATTATGTTCGGTCAGTTATAGAAGTTTTTTTCCTATCACACTGGTGGCAACAATAGAAATTTTATCCATGAACGGGAAGTAAAATTGTGTGACGTGTATTTTGCGGCTTAGTTTCCTCTTTCTTTAATGGGAATTATTTTATGTTATCTTTTTCTTCCCTAAAGAAATCCTGTAACTTTGACCTTGACATCTGTCATTATTTGTTGGCCAGTAGGTTTTTGTCTACTGACCGTGAAAGTAAATACATTGAAGTTTCTTTTTTTTACTTTTTCATTAGCGTCTCCCTTTCATTCTTAACACTGTAATTTATCTTTTCTTGATGTTATTATAATTCTTTTACTATATTCTTTTATTATAATTTCCTAACTATATTCCTTTATTATAATTCTTTTATTATAATTCTTTTGTTATAATTCTTTTATTATATTCTTTATCATATTCTTTTATTATAATTCTTTTGCTATAATTCTTTTGTTATAATTCTTTTATTATATTCTTTGATTATTCTTTAATTATAATTCTTTATAATACTTTTATTATAATTCTTTTATTATAATTCTCTTATTACAATTGCTTTATCATAATTCTTTTATTATGATTCTTTTATGATAATTTATAAAACTAACTTACCTTTTAAGCTGTTATTGGAAAACTTATCGAGACAAATTTTATTTTATTGATTTGTTTTAACTTGTTAAAATTAAATATGTTTATCGTCATCCCGGGACAATTAAGCTATTTGTGGTAACTTCACTTAATTCGAATCCTGAGTTTAGCAAAACTATTTTGATTGTTGATTTATTTGTGTTGTTTTAGTTACAATTGAGATAAATACATAATCTACACTTTTCACAACTTTATTGCAAATCTCTTAATGTTATGTTCAACTCTCGATAAATAATTTTAAGTGTAATCTTAAACAGTCCTTTAATAGTTTGTCTACTTTATTGTTTATATTAATAGTTTGGATTTTCTATATTAGTAAATTCCTTTATGAGTGCAGGAAGTTGAAGGTCAACAAACTTGTGCTTGCAAAACTATGGATGTGAATTATGCAGGCATTGTCGCTATTGTACTGTTTGTAACAATAAATAGAGGACATTACACTTTTTCTATTTGATTTTGTTAACTGATTTTCAATCATTAAATGAAACAACCTGAACTTCCTAATGTGATTTAAATATTTAAAACACGATAAAAAGTTTAAAAAAAGTGCTTTCCGCGTTTTTATTTTTATTAATAAATGTTTTCTGCTTCATACGTAAATTTAAATTAGTCTTTTGTTACTCCATCACTAACACGAGCCAAATATTGTATTTTTTTGCTTGCTTCAGTTACTCCATATTTAGGGGTAACTTAAGACGAATAAGCAAATGACAAAGACAAAAAAAATAACATGAAAGCAACCATGTTAATTTTTATTTGTCTTATGCTTTAGAGAAGTTTCATGCATGCAAATATAAATTGCAACAAACTGTAAACTAAATAATGAATGCAATGTGTCCGCTATTTGTATGTGTGCTCTTCATTGCATTAATATTTTTTTTCTTCTTATTTTTGAGATTTTCTATCTTTTATTTAGTTAATATGCTATTTCCTTTCTTAGTATAGATAGCAATTTTCTTATTTTAATATGAAATTAATTTAGATAAAATTGAAAAAAATAATTAAATTTATTTTTGATTTGTATTTATGTTAATTAAACTTCAAGTACGTTAAAATAGCAAATGAATAGCTTGTATACATTTTATTTTGGAGTACTGTAATTAATATAATGCTACATTTTGGAGTACAAAAAATTTAGCATACATCATATTGTAATTGATTTATTCATTTTGTAGCGGAATGATAATTTTGTAGCGGAATTGTTAATTTTAATCTCTATTTTTAAAAAGAAAACATTAAAATACTACATCAAAGTTAACTTTATGCTTCATTAAAATATTTTAAAGTTCTCTCATTATGTAAATCTCAATTCGACATGTCCCCCAATATTTTAAAGACACCTCCTCTCTCCTTTTTTATAGTTATCTTTTTAATTTTATAACCATCGTTCAATAGCCAACCCAGTTTTCGGGTTTACGACTACTAATTTTCAAATTCGCTTTACAATTTTGAACCCAATCCAGAAGGCAAGGGAACTCCTGCATCAAGTATTGGAAGAAATTTGTCTTCGAGGACGACTTTTTGATAAAACTAACCCGAATTTTCGTTACATGGGGAGGAAAACCACAAAAATCTCCCACTGTTAGCATGATGACAAGAAGACTCTAACCCATGATCCGTCTACCACTGAGGATATCGTACGTCCTAACTGTGGTTGGTGTGAGCCGGGTGCGGATTTTGAATCGACCAGCCATCGCTGGGTTTCGGACCCGGTTCACCTCATTGGAAGGGGAACGCTCTATCCGCTGAGCCACCACGGCTCTATCTTAAATATCATAACAAAAATACGTATGCGAACGAAATGCTCATATTTATTAGTTTTTAGAGCACGAAGAAAGAAAAATTCAGGTAAATCTACCGCACTGTATGATAACGACATTTCTAGTAAAAAACAAACAAACAATATAATTCTGGAATTAAAAACTATTAAAAACAATCATTTGGTTAATCTTCCGCAATAAAATTATTTTTGAAAAAGCAAAGAAATTTTTTTTTACAATATTTCAGTCAAAGTTTATCTAGAAGACGTTTACTTTGAAAACGTTTACCTTGAAAGTTTTCATTAAAAAATTTTAAAGTTTTCTCATTACTAATCTAAATTTCTTGTCTACATTTTCCTTTCGTAATATTTTCAAAACATCTCTCGCTTTTTATAGTTATCTTAAATATTATAAAAAATGTGAATACGAACGAGTTGTGTACATTAGTTTTCAGAGCATGGAGCATGGAGAAAAATATCCTGGTAAAATCATGGTACTGTATTATAATGACATTTCTCGTAAAAAATGCTGGTAAAATTATGGTACTGTATTATAATGACATTTCTCGTAAAAAATGCATTTTGGCATTAATAAATAAAATACACGATA